ACACAATAAGACACGGTGTGTGTGTGAGTGTGTGTGTGTGTGTGTGTGTGTGTGTGTGTGTGTGTGTGTGTGTGTGTGTGTGTGTGTGTGTGTGTGTGTCGTGTGTGTGTGTGTGTGTGTGTGTGTGTGTGTGTGTGTGCGTGCGTGTGTGTGTGTGCGTGCGTGTGTGTGCGTGTGCGTGCGTGTGTGTGTGCGCGCGCCTTTCTATGTGCCTTTGTGCCCGTCTATCTGTCTACCTGTGTGGACATGGCATCTGTCACATACCGAAGTCCGGCCACATTGTGTGCTCGAACCCGTCCTCCTCCTTACCCCCTCCAACCACCACCACCACCACCACCACCTGTGTTCAGTCGCGGCTGACGGCCGTCCAGCGCCGTCGCATTGCAGCGAGCAAACAGCAACTGGCGCCCGCAGCAGCACTCCCCTTTCACAGGCTCACCCCGGCAGAGAAGGTGCGAGGCAGAAGAAGCAAGTGGAGGGAGGGAAGACGGGGGGTGTGGAGTGTTGCTGAGGTGATGTGGGCGTGGAATGGATGAAATTGCTGTCATGAGAGCCAAGACCTTGCATGCGCCAGACTGAACCTGACTTGCTTGCTTACACGCATTCACACATCCACGCACCGGTACACAAGCGCACATACTCACACCCACTCACTCACGCTCGCATGTATGCACACACATGCACACACGTTCACATGCGCACACATACACACATACACACGCACCCACGCCCCGCTACTTCCAGGCCAAGCTGAAACGTGTGGAGGACGCGAAACTGCGGCAATTGCGCATGTACATGAGAAATGTCCTCAACAACATCATGACGGAGCGGAAGTACAAGCCTTTCTTGAACGATGGTACGAACAGATGAGCACGTGTGAATGTGTGTTTGTGAATGTGTGTGTGTGTGTTTGGTGTTTGTGAGTGTGTTTGTGAATGTGTGAGTTTGTGAATGTGTTTGTGAATGTGTGAGTTTGTGAATGTGTTTGTGAATGTGTGTGTGTGTTTGTGAATGTGTGTGTGTTTGTGAATGTGTGTGTTTGGTGTTTGTGAGTGTGATCCCAAGTATGCTGCACACTAAAGGAATTGGTTTCGTTGCATTTCAATATGACATCATGCACTCACACACTTGCACACACTTGCACACACACATACACACGGACACACACACACATACACACCGCACGCGGGTCGCCATGTTGCGCTGTGTGGGACTGCAGAGGCGTTTGTTGATCTTGACGATTACGATTCCATCGTGAAAGAGAGGATGACGCTGGAGCGAATGATGGACAAACTCGACAGCGGTAGGCATGGGGGTGATGATGATGGTGATCGTGGCGGTGATGGTGGCGGCGGTGGTGGCGGGGATGAAGTCTGTGCTCATTCAATTTATTGTGCATTGGCTTTTGTTGTGTGTCATCAGCGTTTACTCAATCTACTAACCCAACACATCACTGTATGTGCATTTGTGTGTGTGTGTGTGTGTGTGTGTGTGTGTGTGTGTGTGTGTGTGT